AAGGATCGAAGAATCGCAGTTTTCGAAAAATCTGAAAAATCTGCGATTCAACGAAACGTGTTATAACACGATGAAACATCGGTACATAATTAGGCCGTGGGAACAAGAGAACGTTAGAAACATTTAAAAAGACTCTTCCTTGTTGAGAAAGAACATGAAGATCCCTCGAGATCCCTGCATTGCGGATCTTCGTATCGCACGGAACACATTGGTCCACATCGTGGTCCATCTTTTGGTCATGGAAAATGAAAATCGTGAACAATTTTCTGAATTGGTCGAAAATTCGATAATAATATCGTATTAATAATTCGCGACTTTTAGATTTTTGTATTTTTTTTTTTGTGTGTGTTTTTTCACTTTTCTTATTATGTATCCATTAAATGTGTACTATACGAAATTGATAAAATTATAGAAACAAGTGAATTTGGATCGAATTGACCCATATAATTAAAGAAATTGGTTGATTTAGTTAAGATCAAATTATCATGATTATGAGTGAAAAATTGTTAATAATTTGTATGAGTTTTAAAAAATTTTATTGTTATTAAAAAAATATTCTATTTCGTTGTTTGAAATCATATAAATTTCTCCAGGAAAATTTAAAATTTTTAAACGATATATTAAATTTTTTAAATGAAGCAAAATTACCGTAATTTATTATAGAAAAATGAACATTTAAAATTTGCAAATTATGAAGATATATATATATATATACTATTTTTTTCTTCTACTAATTAATATACAATACAATACAGTATATAATATATAATGTATATATATATGTATGTATATATATATAATGTATTATGTATTATATATTAATTATTGGAAAAAAAAAATATCTGGATCAAAGACGTGCTTTTTGCATAATTACGTCGATGATTGTATTAATAAAATTTCAATAATAATTATTCAAATATTTAAAATGGTTATTATTTTTTTGTGTCGAAAAATATTAAATAATAATATTAATTCTTTACAATTCTCAAGGCTACTAAATAATAATGATATAAAATTACATATATTTTTAATTATACTATAAGTATAATTAAAAAAAAATATTAAAAAAAATTTGATTTCTAACAAAAAAAAACTATATGAATAGATTCTATTTCTATCTATAAGATTTAAAAGATTCAAGGATATGATGAAGTGATGAATCACAATAAAAAATCATACATTACTAGCTAGTAGTAATAATCCATGAATGAAGAATCATTAATTTCTAACCTAATCTAACCTAATCTAAATCATTAATTAGAATCTATAATGGAAAAAATCGATATATTAAATTTTTGTAAATATAATAAAGTATTCGAAAATTAATTATAAAATTTTAAAATTATATAATATTATAATTATTCTTAAATTTATTAGAGGTTATTATATTTAGTTTATTTGTTTAAAGTTATATTTTTTAATTTTTATTCTTAAAATAAATGAATATGATTAAAATATTTTAAAATCATTTATATTATAGACTTATGTGTAAATTTGATTGAAGTTCATATGTTATGAATATGCTGCATCGATCATTTCATCTTACAATCATACCGAATTAGTGATACAAATATAACGTGTCTAAACTTAACAAGAAGCCGTTAAATGTCATGAAGTAACAGTCACAGTAACATATCTATTTTCAGCAACGAAATTATATTATCTATTTGAATTTCACGATTGCCAATTTAACAAAAAGAATAATTTCATGTACAATAATAAGAAATATTAAAACAAAGTAATAATCTTAAAGAAATTTGCTTCTATCTGTTTTGAAACAATAATAATTTTAATAATTTTTAAAACACCACTTTAATTAAATATTTTTTTAAATAAAACTAATAAAAATATTTTATTTTGAAAAAAATTAAATCTCTTTATTTAAAAAGTAAAATTCTGTAGCATACATTGTTATCAAAACAAGAATATTAACCTGTTATGTTTTAATATATTAATAATAATTGTATAATAATTGTAAACAAAATAAGCGTCAGCTGATCAGCTGATCGTGTTACCATAACCGCAATGGCTGCTATTGATCTCGTGAGCAAGCTCTTTCGCACGCGCGTTCTGCGTTAAAACCCCTTCTACCTATTTCTACGCACGCGATTAAATCTTGTCTAATGTCTTATTTTCGGTATTTGTTGATGAATAAAATAATTTATATGGTACTCACCAAAAGTCGATCTGCAAAGCTGGAGCGAATGCTAAAAAACTGCGACGCACTCCATAGTACGCGCGGGAAACAATAACTTATAACTAATTGACAAAAAAAATATAATAATACACGAAAGATGTAAGTAGAACTCAAGAAAAAATGTTGATATAAAGATAGATGAAACAAGGGACACGATAATTGACACAAGAAAGACAAACTAGTTTGATATTGGAATGTAAAATGTGAAATTTCGAGAAGCGACTAAAGAAAGGAATAACGCGATAGGGAGAACGATACGTGTTTTGACCGTGTCTCAAGTCCAGGGTGAATTGTGATTAGTTGCGCATGTGTATCGACGCAACCCTTCTTTCACAACTTTCATTGGTCGCTTTAAGAGACAGGGACGACACGATTCAGGGTGCAAAGTAGGGAATAAAGGAAAAGTAAAATATTATCAATTATTATTGACATTCTTTTTTTGTTATTCTTCATATCCAATTAATTTATTCTTAAATTATAACGAAATAGTTTATTCAGATATTATTTATCTTGCTAGAAATTTAATTATAAATAATAATAAAAAATTATATAACAATAATTCGCAATAATATTTAAAATATAGGAATACGATTTTTTTAATTCTAATTTCTATTTTTCTATTAAATATTTTTAAATTAATATTCAAAATATAATATATTACTTAATACTAGCATAAACGAAATATATAAAATAGATTTAACATTCAATGCATTTTTTTGTTCCATGCTTTGAAGAATTTCTTTACCATTTTAATATCATTTTCAATGTTACCGATTCGACTCAAAATAAATTTGCAACGTGAGTAATGAGTGAAATTCAAATCAAATTCAATATAAAATTACGAAGAATAGATTCGACAAATGAATCTTTAATAGCATCGCTTTTCAATAAAATGTTTAAAAATTCTTACCCCTTTCTTACTCCTTTCGTTGTCAAGTTTTCATTTATTTAAATTCCATTGTTACCATCGAGCAAGTATAGATAATGAGCAAATAGTAAGAAAGGAACAGAGATACAGAGGAATAAAGTCAAATTATTGAAATCAAGGCCATCTCTAGAATGCCACAAATGAAACGCATAAAAAAAGAATAGAAAATTATACAAGAATAAAATAGAATAAGAATTTATCATTAGCGCCATCTTTTGAATATCAAAAATATCTTTTCAAAGATAAAATAAAGCAGAGTATACCATCAAAGAATTGAGTATTACTACCATCTTTTGGTACTTTTTTGTACTTTTAAATAGATTTTTTTGAGCATCAAAAGATGGCGATGATGATCAATTCTCTATCTCTATTCTTCTTTTATTATTTACTTTCCTTGTCTATATTTAAGTTTTATTTACAGCATTCTGAAGATGGCGTTGATTCCGAATTTTTATTCTCTATTCTTCTGCTATTATTTACTTGTTTTTATTCTCCTTGTCTATACCTGCCGCGTGTTATGGACAGCATACGGGATGAACACTTTTCGTCATTTTTTCTTCAAAACTACTATATGTATTAATCTTTAATGTAAAAAATATAGATATTATATTTTCAGTTTTACAATGTATCTATACCAGAAATTTTTTATAATGGTTTTATAACTTTAAATTTTGATTAATTTCAAATATTAATTAAACGTAATAAGAAATACGTTATCTTTAATAAATTAATAAAATATATAAAATTTATAGAAATTAATATAATTAATATTTTTTTAATTTATAAATAAACTTATTAACTTATTGAAAAGTATTTATACTAGCGGCATCTATCATATTACTATTGTATTATGGTAAATAAATGTGTTAAATCTATCGACATGATAAAAACAATGTGAAAAATATTGATATTATTTAATTAAAACTGTGTATTTAAAATGTCAGACGAATCAGAATATGATGTAGAACCAGAAGAATTTGATATTTATAAACGAAAGTATCAATTACTACTAGATAGATGTGAAGTTTTACAACAGGTTTTTGATTTTAATTTTCTGCATTCCATATAATAATTTAATCATGGAAAATAAAATTATTCATTCTTTAATTATAGGAAAATGAAAGATTGGTTTATCGTATTCAGCGAGTTAGAAAATTACTTAAACGTACACGAAAGGAAAAAAAGTTAGTTCAATTTCTAGGTTATGTATTGAATACTATTACAATTTTATCTTTTATTTATTTATATTTGAAATGATATATTTATTTTATATTTTATTATATACATTAGAATATTATATTATATTATATACATTAGAATTGTTTTGATAAAATATTTTTTTTATATTTTAGATTTTTAATTGATCGCTTGGATCAACATGGTGATCGTTGGAGAGAAGCACCTATGGGAGTTCTTGAAGAAAATAATGTATTTCAAGTAACACCTAAGCCAGAAAAAGGTCCAAAAGCTACTACATATAATTCTAAAGAAGAAAAGACTAAAAAAGGAACAAAACGGAAAGGCACTAAGACAGATCCTAATGCTCCAAAAAGACCAGCAAATCCATTCTTTCAATTCTGTCAAGAACAAAGACCTCGAGTTATGGAAAGATTAGCTGGAGAACCAGAACCAAGCAAGCAAGAACTTACTAGACAACTTGCAACTACTTGGAAATCTCTCAGTTCAGAAGATAAAAAGGTTTGTATAAACAAATACATGAACATTTATGTTTGAAAAGATAAAATAATATATATTTTCCTAGGTATATTATGATATGTACGAACGATCCAAAGAAAAATATGTTGCTGAAATGCAAATTTATAATAAAAAATCGGAAGATACGCCAAACCATATGTCTTTAAATATAACATAGTATTTGTATTTAAAATAAATATTATTTGTAAATACGTAATTTATAATCATATATTTGCACATATGTCAATATTTATATATAGAAAATTGAAATAAAATTTTATAAATAAAACAAATAGAAAATTTGTACGTAGAAGGAAGAATATTTTATATTGATTAAAAAAATTATGTAACCACCACTAATTTTTTTGTAACAATAATAAATTTATGCTTTAAAATTATCTTTTTCCCTTCTAAGAAATGCCATAGTTTGAATTGGATCTTTTTGTTCAGTATGATCCATAACAGATTGTTCGTGAACTCGCATAAATGGATTTGTCAATTTCTCTTCCTGAATAGTGCTAGGCACAGAAGGATTATTCTTTTCGCGCTGTATACGAACCCATTCTATTTTTTGACGAATTGCTTCATTTTCTGGCTCTACATGTTTTGCAAATTTTAAATTATTTGCTGTATATTCATGGCCACAATATACTTTCTATAAAATATCCAAAATATATATATCGTTTTTTTAACAATTATTTTATATCATAAAAATTTAAGTATGATCATATGCTTACAGTTTCATTAGGTAATGATCCCAAAATTTCTATAAGTGCTTTATACATTTGTTCTGCAGTACCTTCGAAAAATCTACCACAGCCAGCAACAAAAAGAGTATCTCCTGAATATTAATATTTATATTTTAATCAATTTATATTAAAAAATTAATCAAAAAAATAAATATGTATAACAATTTATAAAAATGTAAATAATAACTTATATTTTTACCTGTAAAAACTGCTGGAATATCTTGATCTGTAATATAAAAACAGATATGTCCAGTTGTATGACATGGTGTTGAGAGGCATTGAACTTGTAATTTTCCAATGTTGAAAATATCATTATGTTTTACTTTACACGTAAGTGCCTCTATTCTATCATCTCCACCATATACTTGAAGATTATTAAATTTCTTACATAACTTTGTATTTCCACCAGCATGATCCCAATGGTGATGAGTAGTTAGAACTTTTGTTAAAGTTACATTATTTTGTTGAACTGCACAAGCAACAGTGTCAGGATCAACAGGATCGACAATTGCAGCTTCCTGTGATGTTTCGTCAATAATCTTTAAAAATTACAAAATATGATATCAAATAAATATATAATAAAAAATATGACAGATATTATATTATATTATGTAGTAATAATAATTTGTAATTCTAAATAATTATAAAAAAAATTAATAATTTAATATATTAATATATATAATAAAAGTAATAATTAATAAAAAATGAGATAAAAATAAAAAATACGCACTAAATACATATAATTATCTTGAAGTGCGGGTAATATTTGAACCTTCATATCGTATTGTTTATATTGTTTTATTATTGCACAATTAGAATATGTTGAATAAAAACCATTCGTTGAAATACTTTTTGCTAGAAAAATAAAAATTTTTATTAATATTTAAAACAATGTAAATATTAAATAATATAAATATTAAATTGATGGTTGTATAATTTGTTAATATTTATTTATAATTATTTATATATAATTAATATTAATTTAATTTACACAATAAAACATACATATACTATGTTAAAATATCATCAATGTCTTTATCTGTAATATCATATGATATAAAAATTTAAATTAAATTAAGATTATAAAATCCATGTTAATAATAAATTTAATAATAAAATATTAATGATATAATAAAAATGGAACAATATTTACTTAAAATTTGTATTCAAAAATTTATAAAAAAAAAATATAAAGAAATATTATTAAAAAGAAATATCTATATTTGTAGATATATCAATGTCAAAAAATATGTCAAAAAAATTTTATTCAGATATAAATGTAAAAATGTAAAAATTATTAATTATCAGTAGTTATTTTTATTATATTCTTAAAAATTTTCTTATCGCAATATTACAATTTTTATATCTTATTTTATATGAATAATTTTATGTTTAAAAAAACTTGATTTTATGTTTTATATTTAAAAAAAACTAAATATTTTCTAATATCTTTTGAATAATTTTAATAAGAATCATAAAAATTTTAAAGTGTAAAGTATATGTAAAAACAATAAAATAAAAGTTTGTAAGAAAATATGATAAAGAAAATAGGATACCCTTATAATATAAAGATGTTAATGTTAACCAAACAGGAGAAGCACGAAACATTGCATTTAACATAATTTTTGATAAATTTAATATTGATATTAAATTAAATTTTATTCGATAAAATATCTAATATCAAATACTATTATATATACAATGTTACTTGCCTAATTACTATGTAGTACTACTATAAAACAACTGGACTCAGCTGATCGGTACGATGTAATACTGGTGGAAAATATTAGGTTAATACGCTCATATGCTGTATGAACCATTGTTAACACATGAATGCGTATATTTTTAACTATAGCATTATTTAATTAATGAATTTTTATTTATTTAATAATAATATAAATTAATATAATATAAATATAAATTAAACTATTTTACTTTTATTACATGTAAATATTTTTTACAATGTCTGCAAGTAATTCGAAAGAAATAGTAATAAATAATGAACATCAAGGTTTGTTATTTTATTTTTATATTAGTAAAAATAATGTATTTTTAAAAATAATAAATTACAGAGAATCATTATTATTAATATTAATTATTCTTTATTATATTATTCTTTATTTAAATTTCACTTTTTTAAATTTATATGTTATTATTATATCATTCTTTTTCTAGATATTGAACAAGATGAAATTACCGCTATTGATTTTGAATTAAAACAAATTGAAAATGAAATGCAAAATCTTGAGGATCGTAAAAAAATCTTGATTCAACGTAAAGAAAAATTACAAGATGATGCACTTTTAAAAAAGAGTTTATCTGTATCAAAAAAGGATTGGAGTAAAGAAGATTTTACATGGTCTAAAGATTTGAAGAAAACTTTAAAAAATGTTTTTAAAATAGAAAAATTAAGAGAATTACAATTACCAACTATGAATGCAATTATGTCTAATGAAGATGTTATTTTAATTATGCCCACAGGTGGTGGCAAAAGTTTATGTTATCAATTACCTGCTGTTATTAGTAAAGGTATTACAATAGTAGTATCACCATTATTATCATTAATGGAAGATCAAATACATGGATTACAAAAACATAATGTAAAAGCTGGAATGTTAAGTGCAAAATGTAATAAAGAAAATGTAAAAATTATAATGAATGCACTAATAGATAAAAAATCTGATCTTAAATTAATTTATGTTACACCAGAATATATGGCAAAATCCAATCGTTTCATGAATAAGTTGCAAAAAGCTTTTGAAATGAAACGTTTAGATCGTTTTGCAATAGATGAAGTGCATTGCTGTAGTCAATGGGGACATGATTTTAGACCTGATTATAAATTTTTAGGAATATTAAAATCCATGTTTCCAGGTGTACCAATTTTAGGTTTAACAGCCACTGCTCCAGCTAAAATTATTGTAGATGTTCAGAAAATGTTAGATATTCAAGGTTGCTTGGTTTTGAGGGCTACTTTCAATAGACCAAACTTATTTTATGAAGTTCGGAGAAAACCAACAGACAAAGATACATGCTTAGCTATGATAGAAAATTTATTAAAAAATAGATTTAAAGATAAATCTGGAATAATTTATACAACTACCATCAAAGATGCAGAACAATTAACAACTGATTTAAGAGCAGTAGGTTTAAAAGTTGGATGTTATCATGCAATGTTAGAAGCAGATTATAGATCAGAAGTATATTCCAAGTGGATATCAGGAAAATATCAAGCTGTAGTGGCTACTATTGCTTTTGGATTAGGTATAGATAAGCCAGATGTTAGATATGTTATTCATCATTGCATTTCAAAATCAATGGAAAGTTTTTATCAAGAAAGTGGGCGTGCAGGTAGAGATGGAAAAAAATCCATGTGTATAGTATTATACAAACTTCAAGATATTTTTAAATTAAGCACAATGGTATTTCAAGATAAAGTCGGTTTACAAAATTTATATAAAATGTTAGCATATTGTTTAGATCAAACATCATGTAGACGTAGTTTAATTGCAACTCATTTTGAAGAATCTTGGACTAGAAGTGATTGTGCAGAAATGTGTGATCATTGTCGGAAACTTAAAGAGAATAAACAATAAATATAGCTCCTTATTGTAGACAGTTATATCAAATTATGACAAAAGCAGTGCAAAATGAAACTAGATTGACTGTCTTAAAACTTATAGATGCTTGGTATGGTAAAGGTGCATCAACATTACGAGTATCTTCTGTGCCAATACCAAAATTTACAAGAGAATCAGGAGAAGCTATAATAGGATATTTACTTGTAAATGGTTATTTACAAGAAGACTTTCATTTCTCTGCATATTCTACAATATCATATATAAAACGTGGGCCCAAAGCAGTATTAGCACTTGATACTACTCACGAAATATTTTTTAATTATGAATTACATTAATTTATATAATCATCATACATTATGATCTGTGATATAATAATAATTCCTTGATTATTAAAGGAATATATTAAATAAATAGAATATTATTTTAAATTTAAAATATTCCTATTCATCAACAATATATTTTACTAATTGTAAGTTATTTTAAATTTAATTTATTATAAATTTTTAAAGTGAGTATTCTTTATAATAATAACTTTTAGGATATTTTAATAACTTTTAGGATATTTTATTAATAATATTTTGTATAATGTGTTTGTTTTAAATTGTTTAATATACATAAATTTTTAACATACTTAACCAAAAATATTTTCACGAAGTAATAAATGGTTTTTGATACAAATATATTATTTTCATTTCTAAAATATGATTCTAAAGTTTTTTTAAATTTTTTACAATTTTTGATGAAATTATTTGATGCATATTTTGAACATATTTTAGAATCATAATCATTTAAAAAAAGTTTGATAAAAATATTTTTTGAATGAAATTACAAGTATAAAACTTATAATTTTTTCTATGAAATAAAGAGTAAATAATTTAAACTTAACATAAAAAAAAAATCAATAAAAACTACATGTACAACGTTAGACAACGATATGTCGGTGGTTTGGATAGTAAGCCAACCACCAGGTTCACGATCAGATGGAAATATTGATCCTGGATAAGGGGCATCTGTGTTCCGTCTGTTAGCAAACACGTTTTACTACAGTACTAACTACAGTATTGATATTAGATTTATAATTCATTCATTTTTAAAAATTAAACAATAATAGTAAATATCGCATAATAGTAATCTATTATAAGTGATCACAACATTTTTAGTAGTTTTTAAAATATTCCGATTTTTCATTCAAAGTTCAATTGTACGTATAATAAATAGTGACATACTAATGATATATCTTTCATTCATGAATCCATTCAAGTGAAAATTTTAATGAATAACTTTTCTGAAAAATTTTAAACGTAATGGAGTCCTGACAATATCTAATCATTGATAAAAATTTATTGATATATTACCCTCAATACGAGGGTAATAAAAAGCAGGTAAAGACAGAAAATTTAAGTGACTGATAGTGATTTTCCATATGTGTACATTTTATAAGTTCCATATACATATATAATGTGTGTCTGTGTGTCTGTGTGTGTGTACATCAAAATTAATTGATGTGATAACATGCATATATGTTTAAAGCAAACGATAGCGGGAAATGTTATAAAAACAGAAATCAGTTTATTATAACATTTCGATGCAGGTTTATTCGCGCGCTTCTGCGCGACAAAGTTTGATCTCTGTAATTTTAATACTGCATAAAAACATCAAATATTCTGTAGATATTCTTTTACTTGTAAAAAAAAGGAAACAGTGCATCTGAAATTTTTAACTTTTACTTTTATGAATATTATGTTCTTTAATGCAAAAAAATTGTATTCGTACGGATCACTTTAAACAGTTGTACATTACATTTCATAATCATTTCATAAGAATCGTTATTCGAGTATTATTATGACGAAAATTATGTAAAGAAATTTAATCATATAAATACAATTTCGCATTACGCTCTAATAAAGATAACTAGATGATTTGTTCTTCACCAATCTGCCTTAAACGAAGATGCCTCTGCCAAATATTCTCAAAAAGGCAAGCAGTTACATTTTAGGCGATTGTAATCAAGATAATCGTCGTACTATATATCAGGATGGCGAGGCATTATTTTGCAAGAATAACGTTTGTGTTCATCCGCCAACTTTAATGAGACAAAATTCTGATGTGGTACATCATCCCGGATACATGGCCATAACCTGTAGATTTAATAAAAACTCAAATGTACCAACTTTGCATCTCAGTTGGATTCCGAATAGTACACTTCGTAAACATCCGACAACATTAGAAAATTTAAGCATAAAAAAACTTGATTGTATTACTCATCGAGATACCGATATAAGTTCTCATCATTCTCAAATATCAGAAGAAAGTTGTGATCTAAAGTGTGAATACGAAAATATTGGTGAAAAAGTTGATGTTTGTTTAGAAGTAAAGGAACCTGTCAATTGTGGGGATTGTGAACGAGTTTGTTCTGGTGGTTTTTCACGGAATGCACGTTTCGAAAATGATGATACAAAAAACAATGATAACTTATGCGATCATCAAGTTACATCAGAAACTAAAGAAATTCCAAATGTTAATATCAATCGGCAAACAAATTATCATCGATCTGACAATTTATCAACTACTATACATGAAGAAAATGATCATAGTATCAGTTTAAATCAATTACGTTCTGAATCTCTGAGCTCAAAATATGACGAAAATCAATATTGTAAAGATCAAAAAGTTTCCGAAACGCATGAAAGCGATGGAATAAGTATTGATGAAGAATTGAAATATCCTTATTATGATGATGTAAGTCTCAAAAGTCGTAGTATGTCATTAACCTCTACATGTAGTTTATCTGTTGGCGTATCTTCAGAAGGTATTAAATTGATTATTTTGATAATTTTTTCATTAGTTTCTAGACATTACTAATGTGTAAACTAATATATAATTCATCTTCTTTAGCTGAAGAAATTCCATCATGGATGAGATCACCTGAACTTTTGGCTTTACAGCATAACCTTACATTTCCTGAAAGTGCAACAGCTTCACCAGTAACATTACGTAGAGCACACAGATGTAGAAGATTTTCAGTGGATCTCAGTGAAATGAGATCTCTAAGATTATTTTTTGCTGATCCAGCTTGTACTTCTGGTCAATTAGTTGTTGCAAGTAGAGAAAGCCAATATAAAATTCTACATTTTCATCATGGTGGATTGGACCGATTAGCAGCAACATTACATCAATGGCATCAATTACTTTATCCGAGATTAGATACTGATGCTGAGGAAACACTTCCATATAGGTAATATTTAATTAATGAAAGAAAATTAATATTTTATTAAATATTAATTTTTTCTATGATTCAGGCATTTTATGGTATGTCGACCAGAGGTTAGTCGTGATGAACTACATCCAGAAGAAGGTCAAGTACCAATGATTACATCATTAGCCTGGAAAGATTTATTAAATGAAAGAGGTCAAGTTGAAGATGACCTTGCTCTTCGTAAAGGAATATTTTTTGGTGGATTAGAACCTGCATTAAGAAAAATTGTGTGGCCCTTTCTTCTTCATTGTTATTCATATCAAAGTACTTATGAAGATAGGGAACAAATTGATGCCATTCGTAGACAAGAATATGAAGAGATACAAAAACGTAGACTGAGCATGAATCCAGAACAAGCAGAGCATTTTTGGCGAAATGTAGTGTGTATTGTAGAGAAAGATGTAGTTCGTACTGACAGAGGAAATCCTTACTATGCTGGAGAAGATAATCCAAATATTGAAATAATGAAGTATGTTTATATAAGATTAATTTTTTCATTTCTAGATTTGTACTTATATAATTTCATTTATATGTTAACACTATCATATTACCTTTTTCAGAAATATTCTATTAAATTATGCAGTTTATAATTCTCGATTAGGATATACTCAAGGTATGTCTGATTTATTGGCTCCTTTATTGGCTGAACTCAATTCTGAAATAGAAGCATTTTGGTGCTTTGCTGGATTAATGCAAAGATCTGTAGCAGTATGTACTCCTACTGATATAGATATGGACAGAAATTTATGTTATTTAAGAGAATTAGTTAGAATAATGGTCCCAGACTTTTATGCACATCTTCAAAAACATACAGATGCTTTGGAACTCCTATTTTGTCATAGATGGATACTTCTGTAAATACGAATTTTATAAATATTTTAAAATTTTCATCAATAGATTTATCATCAATAATAATATATATTTTGCAGATGTTTAAAACGTGAATTTCCCACTGAAGTAGCATTAGTGATGTGGGAAGCTTGTTGGGTAAATTATTTAACTGACCATTTTCATCTATTTCTTTGTCTTGCCATAATGTGTGTTTATGCAGATGATGTAATAGCACAAGATCTTAGAACGGATGAGATGTTATTACATTTTAGTTCTTTAGCTATGTACATGGATGGAAATCTCATATTAAGAAAGGCGAGAGGCCTACTGCATCATTTTCGTCGACTTGATCGTTTACCATGTACATTAGCAGGACTTTGCCGACAATGTGGTCCAGGAATGTGGGATAGCACTCATGATCCTGTTATAGAATGTATGGATCATAATGATGCACTTTGTCCATATTTAAGCAATTATGAATAACGACCTAAATTTAATGAAAGTGACAAAAGTATACTATTGTTAAAGCTCTCAAATTATTCTTACGTTAATTAATTAAATTAAATACACTGTAACGATCACATGCAACAAAATAAGTTACATAAATTACAGTTAATTAAATATTTTAAATAATAACAGATATTAATGAAAGTAAAATTTGACTTACATATTGTTTGTACGAAAAAATTCTTAATCAACTTAATATCATAAACAAAAAATTGTACATTATCACATTTTATTTACATAATTACGTAACTTATAAATATTCAGAAATATCTGGCAAATTATTTAATAAATAAGAAATGAAAGACATATCTTAAAATTTGACATTCAATGAAATTAATTGTAATTTTAAAGATTTTAATAATACATTAACTTCTCATAAAACAAAAGTATTCTGAACTAAATAATTAAGTAGAACTTCAATGATTATGACGAGTTTTAATCGAAAATCTGTAGTACAATTAAAGACTGATGACCAAAGAAAAATGGAGTCATACAAGCATTTTAGCTTTAAAATCTCCAAATAAACAAGCTTTTTCATTACATAAACATTTGTTATTTATTTAATGTAATTGGAAATGCTGTTTTTTCGTTTGGTACAAATTTTGCGATCTGAAAATAAAAAATTAATCTAATATCAACAAAAAAATTAAATGTAATTTAATATATTATATAAATATTTATTGTAAGTCCATTTAAATTTCTTGGTCAATTAATGATGCACGTGTTCACTTTGGGGTATTCACTTATGTGATATTTTTAATATTTTTTCTATGAAACAAGTTTTAATTTATTATATATACAATGTATTATGTTTTATTATATTTTGAATTCTTATACATAACATTTTTGGTGATTTTATTATGGTGACAATTGATTTATATAAAGAGGTGATATAAATGTATCTTGCTCAACAATTTTTTTTTTTATTCTGATAACCCAAAGTGTTTTTATACTAGTCTATTTGCTCATAAAAATATATAATTGAAGATATAATTCTTTCTACATTTCAAATTTAATCTTTTTGGTATAAAATAGATGCATCATTGTAATGAATGTATACAGATTGTATACAATGTATATAATTATTTGTATGATATCTTATAACTTAAATAAATAAACTTTAAAAATTATTGATAATCAATAGAAGATTGTAAAGATTTCATACAAATAATATAATGCTTTTACTGTGCCACCTTATGTTGTTAGACTATTATAGAGAAATCTATTCGTGTTAAAATTTGTTCTGCTAAGTCTAACTAAATATAACATACAATTATGAATAAATAGAAATATGTATGTACATATAAAAATAAATCAAAGTAAGCTTATGTAATCAATTCTTTATTTTTTTCTTTTACTTTTAGAAAATATATGTATACATATTTTATGTATTTATATACATATTACATTTGTACAGGTACACGGTACGAGAGGCATTTTATGAATATTTTATTGGCAGTTTTATACCATATAAAAATATTTCTGCGATATACAAATCAAATTTAATCAATAATAGTTATTTAGTCTGTCTAATTCTTTCTTTTAAAAAAATAAAGCACTAGGAAATTTTTAAAACATTTTTTTTAAATAATAACAAATAGGCCTTTAATATTTTTAAATATATATTGATTAACAGTTATATAAGTCTACAGATTTAGATGCATCTTCATACCGTTTAAATAGTGGACAAAATATTTTTAGTTGGCCACTAAATATCACTTATTTGAAAGACATTTATGTACAGTAAAAACTGTACTAAGACATATTTTCTATTGAATAAAAATATAAAAAAGATAAAGAATATATTATATAAAAGTTTATAATTTAAATTAATTCATTTGGCTTGTATAAGATAATCCTGACTTGTGCCAGTCAATGTGTATTGTCAATTTATTGTGACACATTGTGTCATGATATTATGATTATTATTATCATTATTATTATTAATATATCTTATCTCTAATATATTCTCTTATATGATGAAAAAAATAATTTTCTGATAATGATGCCAAAATATAAGAAATAAAATGAATGTATCTTACTATCAATAACAATTATTTAAAAATACTATCTTCTAAAATCAATCTATTTCATAGTTTAAATAATAAGTATTTATTAATTTTTGAAAAGACTTTTTTACTCATTAGTAAGCTCTTATTAGAGTTACTATTAAAAATTGTATATATCTTAATTATGATTTTAACTTAAAATCATTAATATCACAATTTTCATTCTATATGTTTTATAAATAATTCAATTTCAGATTTAATGATATTACTTTAGATATGCAATTTTTAAGAATAATTCAAGTTTGCACTATTATTAATTTCTCTTTTTTTACATTTTTGATTTAAATATTTAAATCTTAAATCTTTTACTGTAAATGTATACTTATAGAATAAAAATGAATTTGAATAAAATTGACTGATACTAAAATCATGCAAGCAATGGCCCAAACTATAACAAAAATGAGCCAAAAATTACTAGAAAATGGACTTGCAAATTTATTAACAACACCAAGACCTATAACTTTATTTGTCTTTTGCCTGGCATAATACACTAAAAATGTTGGAATCAAATATTGAATTCCTGCGCCAGCATATGATCCTGTAATTCCTACTAATATTGATAAATCTTTGGTACTTAAAGCAATGATATATGGAGGTAATATTGCTAATATTGGGAAGACAATTTTACGAAGACAAGAATATGATGTATCTTCATTAAAAAATAATGATTGTAAATTATTTCTAAGCGTTATAGCTATAATAGGAAAGCTTGTACTCAATGTAAATACTGGAAAAAGTGCCAAAAAATATTCTATAAGAATAATAAAAATATTATTACTTTTGGAACAATCTCCAGATCCATGAGGACTAAAATCTAAAGTATAAAGATCGTCCAAATGTTCGAAAGCAAATGCTCCAGTTAATGCCAGTAAAAGATAAAAAAATGCTATTAATAAATAATCCAGTGCCAAAAATCGAGTTAAAGTGGTCTTATTTGCGATTGGAGCAACCAATGCAGGTAAAGAATGATGACACATAAAAGAATAAATACAAGCACCAAATAAACTAGGTATACCTGAAATACACAGGTATAATGTTTTTATTTATTTATTTTAAATGTTTAAAAAAATAAATATATATATTTTTCAAGTATATAGATAAACTTACCCATAATATTTGCTGCTGGAGGATTTCCTTGTGGACCATGAATAAATAAATTTTTTAATGCATACACAATCATGATGGTAAATGCAAGTGATCTCATAGCTGAAGTTAAAACTTGAAGATATTTAGTCTTTTGGATATTAAAGAATACAAATGGACCCAACAAAAATATAAATATACTCTAAAAATAATCATCATTATTATATTAAAAATAGTAATTATTGAAATAAATATAGTATTTCTATATTTGTACATACAAGAAATATTCTATATGCATCCGATCGATTTAAAGCAAATTCTTTCCAACAGATTTCAGTATCTGGTATTGTATCATTACATGTAAAATTTGTTGGTTGATAAGTACAAATAACATCAGCTAAAGTTTTTGCTACTGCTGCTCCATATATACTTAGATCCCCATAAAGATATATAGCAAAACATAAATAGAATAGAGTTATGCCAAACTTATTAAAAAAAATTGATGCCATCTGTCCCATTTCTATTTTATCACGTATTACATAATATCGATATGTCATATCTGTACGATCAGGACTAGTTGAAAATGGAGTAACAAGAGGAGTATCTTCAGAATCTGAATTTGAAGGTCCCGATTCACCTAGTGTTTGAAGTACCTGAAATAAAAATGAAAATAAAATAAAAATTTTTTTAATTAAAAATAAAATGAATGTTAGAAAAAATAAATCTTGTTAAAAAAATATAATATTATCAAAAAGCAAAAATTATAAATAATACAATATAATTAATAAGTCATCATAAAAAATGCAATATAGAAAATATTTAAAAACCTCAGATTCTGATTCGTTGAAAGATGAATCTTGAGAAAAACATACACGTTTTCTATGTTGAATGTGTCGCCATGCTAGTATAGCATTAGCAGATGCCATTACCTCGATCACAAATGTAACTGTGATGAAACTATAAAAATAATACAATTGATTTTAAATTTTAAAACTAATTAATTAAAATATATAAATCTTATTATTAATCTACCTTATAAATGCTAATATTAAAATAACACTTAATCCAAGAGCCCATCCTGCTCGACTAAAAACAGCAGGTAATGTTAAAGCTCCTGTTCCAACAATTAAGTTAAAAATATATATTAGACCAACCTGAAAAATATATTAATAATGAAACTTTATTTATATATATATAGAATTAAAAAAAATAATATAATAATAGGATCCAAGAAAGATTTTGTTTATAGTTTAAGGTTATTTGATACCATATGTCAAAATTACAAAAACCATATCGAAATTATAAACTTACCCATGTCGAATATTGATCACTTGAATTTTGCTCGGGCATTTTGATTCAAATTACAAATTAAAATGAATCAGTCTGCTCAAGCTAAACAGTATTATTATCATATATGTCATTGACCTATCTGACGCTTTGTATTTTTGTGATGATTCAAGAACAACTGTACTAAAATCAAACAAAACTTCAACCATAGATTTTTTAATATGTTCGTTCTGCAATTTGCAACTTATTTTAATTATTTGAATTATATAATTTTATCACATATTTTATCTATTTACTGTTTTCTCAATAAAATTTAAAAATTAAGTTTATTTTAAAAAAAATATTATAATCAAAATTTAAATTTAAATTGATATCAAATATATTCTTCCGCATTTGACAGTTTGCGCTGTAGTCAACTTCATAAGAGAACTTTGTGCTGCCATCTAATTGTTATTTATTTAAACAAAAATGATTTAAATATTTTAATTATAAACATTCTTCCATCATTATTACATATGTATTAAACTTTATATCTTTTAATAGTTATGACTATTTAATAGTTTTTATAAATTTCTTTTTTAATTAACAAGACTTTATAAATTAATATAGCCATTTTATTAAAAATTGATACACAAATATTAATCATTAAAAAATTTTTTTGCAAATGAAATCATTTCTATTTTATTTGAAGATTGAATAGAATATTTCATAAAGCAATATTACATTATACTACAATATAGTAATAAAATATCTCTAAATTTTAAATAAAATTCAAAAACTCTAAATTACAGATTTTTATAAGGAGTAATAGATACCACTTCATTGAAAATAATTTTTATTCGACTGAAAATATAAACCTAATTCTTAGAGTAATATAAACTTTTACCACAAATCTTACGTTACAATAATGAATAACGCCAAACAGTACAAAAGCTACATTGTGTATAAAACTACATGAATTCATGCTAAATGAAGTAATGATCAATTTTTTTTAGCTCAGATTAACTATGATATACTGGATTGGAGATCAAGGACACAATATCCAGTAAAGGGTGTTGGATTAACTATAATCTTAAAAAACACAAAAGTCAAAGCAATAATGTTTTTAAGAGTTTTATTTTATAATCCCATAAGTCTAAAGTAGTCTTTAAGATGTGTACGTGAATGGTCTTGCACAATACAATGGGAATAAATTATAATACTTTGGCTACGCTTGCGGGGTCGAAACCGTGTCTTTTTTATTCGTTTGAGCGAGCGTTTGTGGGATATTTTTCTGGGTCAGCGGTCTCCCCCATTATTAAAAAAAAAAAGAAAGGAAAGAGCCATCTTTTCCCTCAACGATTGGTAACAGTAAAAAAAAAGATATGATTAAGAAAGGCCTATCTCCGCTGGGAATGATGAATTCTCGAAGGATTGACATAAATGTCCTTAAATATCGGCGGAGTAAAATAGCGGAATGCATTTAATTGGAGGATACCAAACTAAAAGATCTTTCGTGCATTAAGGATGCGCACAACGATTCCATTCTGCATCGAACAATATTCCAAAATAATTTATATAATAGTTTTCTTCTGCTCAAACTCGCGAATATTAAAAATTGGCAAATATTTATATATATATATGTATATATAGCATGTTCGATAAAGAAAAGAACAAAATTATTATTTCGATTGTAAAGTGAAATATCGCGATGACAACAAGATGTTTTTCGTGAGGGTGGTTAGCTAAGATGCTACCATAGGCAATGTTATTTGAAGATACAGGGTGTTAATATATTCATGGGATAGCTTTGTAAGGTCAATTCAAAAAGCCAAAATAAATACAAAAGTTGATATACAAAAAGTGTCGGTTGAGACTTATTTATTAAATCATAAGCAATTTAAATTTGCGCCAGATAAAGCGAGACGGAAACAGAGTAAGTCGACAATATGAACGACAGAGAAAGAATCGTCTCAGTTCATCTAATACAAACTGAAATTGTATATAAATTAATAAATAAGCCTCAATCAACATTCTTTTTATACTAACTTTTATATTTAATTTGGTATTTAGAATCAATCTTCCAAAGATATCCTATTCTTCCAAAAGTATCCTAGCACCCTGTATAATATAAAGGATTCGATAGGATAGAAGGGTACTTAGGAATTCGGGGAATACGTTTAAGATACAATAGTGTTTAATTAAATGAAAATGAATGGATTGCCTCTGCGTTAATCATGTCCCACGTGCATCCGAATCGAAAAAAGGTATCTTCGCCCCGGAGGAACCAAAGGACAATTACTATTGCGGAAGTTGATGTTACGTCCGCCTGCGAAACGAGACAGAGGCCGCTTTCGGGATTCGGGGAATGAGTATGCAAGGAGAATATCAAATATGTGCTTAGAAGCACTTCCTGTGGACAATGGATGGTCCAGATTCGTCGTATTCTTGTTTAGAGATCCACATCTGTTGGAAGGTGGACAAAGAAGCAAGAATTGATCCACCAATCCATACGGAATATTTCCTCTCGGGTGGCGCAATGATCTTAATTTTCATGGTGGATGGTGCTAGGGCAGTGATTTCTTTTTGCATTCTGTCTGCGATTCCAGGATACATAGTGGTACCTCCAGAAAGGACAGTGTTGGCATATAAATCTTTACGGATATCGACATCGCACTTCATGATTGAATTATATGTTGTCTCATGAATACCGCAAGCTTCCATTCCCAGGAAGGATGGTTGGAAAAGAGCCTCAGGACAACGGAATCTTTCGTTACCAATAGTAATTACTTGACCATCTGGAAGTTCATAGCTCTTTTCCAAGCTTGAAGATGATGCAGCGGTTGCCATTTCCTGTTCAAAGTCAAGTGCAACATAACAGAGTTTTTCTTTAATGTCACGAACAATTTCACGTTCGGCCGTAGTAGTGAAAGAATATCCTCTTTCTGTAAGGATCTTCATGAGGTAGTCAGTCAAATCACGGCCAGCCAAGTCCAAACGAAGAATAGCATGAGGCAAAGCGTATCCTTCATAAATTGGTACAGTGTGCGAAACACCGTCACCCGAATCCAATACAATACCAGTAGTACGTCCAGAAGCGTATAGTGAAAGTACAGCTTGAATGGCGACATACATAGCAGGAGTGTTAAACGTTTCAAACATAATTTGTGTCATCTTTTCACGATTAGCCTTCGGGTTGAGAGGTGCCTCAGTGAGAAGTACCGGATGTTCTTCGGGAGCCACTCGAAGTTCATTGTAGAAAGTGTGATGCCAAATTTTCTCCATATCATCCCAGTTGGTAACAATACCATGCTCAATTGGGTATTTCAAGGTAAGAATACCTCTTTTTGATTGGGCTTCGTCACCAACATAGGAATCCTTTTGTCCCATGCCAACCATGACACCCTGGTGGCGTGGTCTTCCGACGATAGATGGGAAAACGGCGCGTGGTGCGTCGTCTCCGGCGAAACCGGCTTTGCACATACCGGAGCCATTGTCAACTACGAGTGCAGCAACTTCTTCGTCAGACATGTTTAGTTTATTGATTTATCTGTAAAAATAAAAATAAATTAAATGACAAGCAATGATTATCAATTAATAATTATTGGTTTTAAAAAAACTTATTAATCTTATAATTTTACGTATTACATATATTTCTTTTTCTTCATTTTTATTTTTTTTATTGATAAATATGAATTTTTGCTTTTTTTTGATATTTTTGATAAAAAAAAGTATAATCCTATAATATTTAACGAAAATTACTCTATATATAGAAATATACTGTAGTGTACTGTATTTTCTATATAACTGAAATAGTAAATTATAGAATACCATGTACTCTAAATTAACATTTCAAATATTTTCAAGATGGCGTTTAAAAATACGAAAAAAAAAAATATATTTTTATGATAGCAAAAATTAATATTTCAAATAATATATTTAACAATTATAAAGACAAATAAATTTTACAACATGTATTTCTCTATGTTAAGAGAAATGTTATTGAAAAAATAAGTTGCAAGAACTATTTGTATCATCTATCGCCGTTAACTAGAACCGCACCCTGCCCCACCTTCCCCGGTATTAAACGGTCAATATCCGACGTAGTTTTATAAAATAAATTCTTACAATGCTACAAATATAGAATCGAATAAGTTTTAAGCTTTAATAAGTGAACTTATATTTAAAACTTTATACATTTTTACTTCAATAGATTAGTTCTTGCAAATAATATTTAGTGCATACTTTATATTATAGAAATTATCTTCTCGCAAAAAGATTTCATTCTCATTCACATATAAATCATCACCGATACCGGTATTTGTAATTGATTTTACAACAAACGGACACTATGATATTACAAACGAAAAATTATAACACAAAACACACTAAATATGACACAAACATCTTTCAAGCCTAACATCACCCACTTTTCTCAATTTGAAAATCCACGTTCGGATGTACATATGATTTACTGTTCAATTTGCCCACGCACTAATCTTTAATTGGTTACACTACAATTTAAATTTTCAATTGGTTTATAAAAAATATTATCTATCACTGAACTTAAAACGATAACTTACTTTTTCGTTTTATATAAAAAAAAAAGTTATGTACAAGTTAGGGAGCTTGGGTCTTTGGATGTGACACTGCCGACCGATCTAGCACCAAACACAGAGTGTAGCTGACAGCCGGCTTGCAGTGTATTATATGAACACAGTCGTCGACCCCCCACCACTAAGCAATCGGCCAATAAGGGCAGGACACCCTCAGCCAATCCTGGCTTTCTTTACCATATATGGAAGTCCTCTGCCACGGAGGGGTTTACCCCCTCTACCCCTCCTGTGCCCTTCTCTAACCATTTTAAGTGTGTCTCACCACCCTTCGTGAATGCATCCGCCAAATTGACCGAACCGCACATCTCCGATCTTGCCAATATTTTCCTCCCTCTCCTTACTATGTAAGTTCAGTTTGGATCACATTCAATGTCAATCGATTTTTAACATCTAATTAATAAATCATTATTTTGTATGATTTCAGTATTTCTATTAATTTTTGATAGATATATGAAATAATTGTATAAACGAATTTTTAAAAAATTTATAGATATTTTATATATAAAAATTTATATATTTTTTAATATCAATAATTTTATAAAAATAATTATAAGAAGATTTGTTAAAGATTTAATTATTTAACTAATTCGTATATTTTATTGATTTGATTAATAAATTATATTTTACAAAATGTATGAAATAAGTAGTTTACATTATTTTCAGTTCTATCTGAAAATATTTAGACATTATATATAAACGCTTTTTAAAATAAATGAATTTATAATTTTCAAATAAATATAAATATAAATATTTAAATCTAGTATTACATGAGTATCATATGAGATAAAAATGTTATAACAATTTTTACATTTAACATTTTAATTTCTCAACCGATGATAGATTTATACTGTATTTCATGTTACGAGCAAACATAATCGCAGGTTCTATAACACCGTACAGAGTACTGCTATTAATAAACGACCACGTCGCGACCACCTGCCTTGCAATGCGTATACGTCAGGAACCACTTGACAACGACAACCTGTCGGATCGTCACAGTATATTCCTTATTTTCAAAATAATACTAACAGAAATGAATTTTTCAAACAAATTTTTCGAGACTACATCGAAAGTCAAAAATGGAGAGAGCAACGCCCTGCCATCATGGCTGCTCATCAACCGGCGTGTGTCCTCGATCTTTTTGCCATTAAAATTATGATAGATCATCGTGAAATGTGTTAAATTAATGCTAAACTTGAACTTTAGTATGTTAAATAGTATATTACTTACCTTTTAGAATAGAAGGTAACCAACAAAGTACTCGATCGCTGATCGGCAAAGAGACACCGCAAGAATACTATCGGCACGACGAAGCGAGACTCGAGAGCCGCGAGTTGCGAACACTGTGAGCACGATCGTGGCCGGTACCGTGTCATGTAGACTCGCCCAAAGGTGTGGTCGGTATACACGCTGTAATGCTCCAAATTATTTGATATGTCCCCCTATTTTTTCGTTTTATTTTTCAAATTTATGCATAAATATAATTCATTGAGCAATGAAAATTTGAAAAATTAAAAATTTAATGATCATACTTTTATTTTAAAATTGTATTATTTAATATTGTTATATGGCTACACCCCTATTTCCGGAATGGATTCGTCCGACTTCCCCCACTACTCGAATTCACAGCTCTTGCCATATATGGGCATAAAACGAAAGCGGCTCGCTGATTGGTCCGTTGGCCGGCTGCCGGCTAGATTCTCCAAATGCCGCTTCAAACTGTACGATACGGGGAGCATAATGCCTTCTGGAAGCGTATACTAGCGTAAGGGCTTTCCTGACTAACCGTCAGAGCTGTTTGTAGTAGTGAACATATCAATGTATGCGAAGATTATCACGTTCTTTGTGTATGTGTGTACCGGCAGTAGGTATGAGTCAGAAAAAGTTTTGTTATATGTATACTTTGGAATGGTCAACATTTTCTTTTACTTAATGCAAATCGAAACATTTGTCATTGAGATTTAATACTTTCTTACATTTGCAATCATTAATGGAAATCATATTTAAAATAAAGTTTATTAAAATATGAAACATTAAATATTCTTATCTGTTTTTTGATAGAAGAAGATAATATTGTATCATTGATTTAATTAATAGATAATATTTTTTGTATTAATAGATATATTAATAATGGAATTGCTAATAATAATAAATGCAATTTATTCTTCTTGTACTTTGTATATTAAATATTTTGTAAAAATGATTTCATGAATTGAAATATTTATTCTTCCAATTTGGAAAGAAATTTTTTAATCAAATAGTATGATATATTCAAAGAAAGAGAAAGAAATTGAGAAAAAAGAAGAAAAATTAATATTTTATTGTTTATAATGAAATTTAGTTTTATATTTTATTCTGATAATATAATTGAAATAGAATTTTATATTAATCTGCTCTCATAAAAGATCATTGAGTAATTTTATAAAATCAAATTATTAACAATTATTAATAATTCATATCAATAATCTACACTCCTGGCTTAATACTATTTGCTTTTCCAATTTTAAAAATTTTAAAAATGTGCTAAATGATATACATAAGATACATTTAGGAAGTCAGTAGGTCAAATTTAACTATTTATGCATACTTGTTATCTAGATTTTATTTTAGAATAGAGCAACTACTGTTTAGCTTAAATTCAATTTTTTTTCAAAAATCAGAGAATAAACTTAGATTAAATAACCAAATGAAGCCGATTATATTTGTCTACCCATTTATTGCATGTTGTATATGTCATCTCGACCGCCTTTTTCTTGAAACAGAAGCTAAAAATAGACTCAAGGGCACGGATAAGGGTGCACTGGACTACTACGATATCACGTAAGCCCTACGCTTCGGTTCTATTTTCTATATAATACATATCCGTCAAACTAAAGATATCATGGTATGTGTGAGTGCAGTGTCTGCTTCAAAATCGATAAGCGTATTCGTACAGTACAATAGTAAATCGTGCTTTGTGAACGGAAACCACGTGGTAATGAAAACGTCAAAATATGCTATTTTTTCAAAATATTTTGCAATTAATTTATTTATAAATCATAATTATAATATCACTGTTATGATTAAAATATTCTATTATCAAATAATTGAAATTAAATTATAGAAAATATTGATAATATGTATTTTCATACATTTTATCATTATACATTGTGCATTTTCTAAAATAGTTTAAAATTTTTATTTATCTTATTTGTTTATGACAATTTTCTTAATATATTTTTAATACAAACAAATTTTTAAATTTATAAAATTTTTAAGAAAACTATTTTAGATTCAATAATTTCTAAAAATATATATATAATATATA